ATGCCCGGGGATCAACCCATGGGATCAACCCAAAAGGTTCCACGATCCCGCGGAGGCGCCAAAATATCCCCAAGATCCCCCCAGAGGTCCCAAAAAGCTTCGCAGCGACGCCCAAAGGGGCCTCCAACGAGGCATATGATTGTTGCTGTCCGATGCTTTTCGGCTGCAGACCGCCTCAGGAAAGTTTTTAGGAATCTCCTGGAAGACCCCGAAATTCCCCAGCACGGCCCCGAAGAGGACCCCAAGGCGACCCCAGGAGCAAGGCTGGACCTAAACGGTGCGTTTCGTTTCGTTGTCAGATTTGTTTTTCGAGTTGTCTGCCTGTTCCCCTGGGCCATTTGTGCCAAAACGAAAAACAAAACGAAGCCCGAAGTCCAGCAAAACAACGTTTAGGTCCAGTCCTGCCCAGAAGGGCCCGAGAACGCCACGGCTCGTCGACGGCCCAACGGAGCCCCAGCGGGCCCTCAACGGGGGCCCCAGCAGGCCCCAATAGAGGCTCGCAAAGAAGGCCCAGAGAGGCCTCAAAGAAGTCCCCAAGAAGGCTCAGGATGCCTTCACGAAAGATGAAGGAGGAGGGGGGAGGAGGAGGAGAAGGAGGAGAACGAGGAGGAAGAAGAGGTGGAGGAGGAGGCGGCGGAGGAGGAGAATAATAAACACGAGAAGGAGGACTGGAGTGGGAAAGATAAGAATAATGACTGCGCTGGCACGGTGGCTGGGTTGCCGCAGGCACGTGGATACGATATGTACCCATGTCAGAATCAAGTGCAATGTCGATGGCGCCGTCTTGACCTCGAATACGATTGTGTACGGCGTGCTGCCTCTGCGCTCGAGGTCGTACAGCCCCGCTGAGAATGGCTTGCCTGCGATGGTGACTGCTCTGTCCCCGACTTGCACGCCTTGTAGGTCTGCCTGTTGGCCAGGCCTCACGTACTTGACGCGCCCATTGACATTGAATTGGATGCCTGCATGGCCAGGATTCAGCTCGATTTTGCGGTGACCAGGTTTCAGCTCGACTTGGCTGGTGACCTCTTCCACGCCTTTCGTCTGTCTGCTGGGCACTGGTGTGCGCCAGGCCCCCTTGGGCTTGGCCGCTTTTGCGTGTGATGCCCCCCCCCCCGAGTATCGACTTGGGCATCCAGCTTCGACAACGTATCGTTGAAGCTAACGAACGTGTGTTCCTGCTCCCCGAATACGAACACAGAGTGATCCACATGAGCTTCCTCAGCGTCGGTATCCGAGGCGGTCGCACGTGCAGCTCGACCTGGAAGCGCCATAACCAGCAACAGGATGATGCCATACTTCGCTGGAGCGCACGTCGCCATCTGGCATGAAAGTGGTTGGTTTTGCAAAACAGAGCTCACACAATTGCTACTGGCAGCATAGCCGATGAATCGGCAGCGCGGCTCGGTGTTGAGCCAGACTGGCCATGAACCACCCAGCTTCAGGAGCGAGGTGAAAGATGCGAACGAGATAGAGGGAGGAGCACGGGGCTGAGGAGCCAGAGCAAGGAATTGGGACGATGGCATAAGGAATAGGTTGAATGATCATGGGTAGCGATGGCGTCCTGGTGGCGACACGTATCATTTCCGCTCCGACCTGCCGATGGCCAAACATCCGAGGATCATGCCCTGTATCCGAGATAGCCTACTGTCGTCCACGAAATAGCGCTTATGACGCTACTGAATATCAACTTACGGTGTCAAGGGCCAGGCAGCAGGGGGGACAAATAGAAAACACCCGTCAAAGCTTCAAGTGAAAAAAACGGCGAGCCCGATGCGACGACCCGCGTGCATTGCATGGTTGCACGACTCAGCCGAACTCCCGTTGCAGACTACAACACAAACAACAATTTGCCTGACGAAGGATCCAACTATATGCAGTCCCGAATTCCGCTGTTGTGAGTACCGTTTTCGGTGGAACTCTCTATGGGGCCACGAAACGTGTGAGGGGTGTGCCCAAATGGGCTCACCAGCGCCCCATCCGCCCCGTGGCCCCTGCCTGCATATCCCGACCGACCGACCGTGCACCCCCTTGCCCGACCGTGCCCTCCCGTCCCCCTGCTCCCCCCCGCACCCCTCCGCCACGTGGCCCCTGTTCGCTTCTTCCGACCGACCGACCGACCGTGCCCCCCCCCCCCCCGCGCCCCTCCGCCCCATGGCACCCGTTTGCTTATTCCGACCGACCGACTGACAATGCCCCCCCTTGCCCGACCGTGCCCTCCCGCCCCCCTTCTTCCCAGCACCCGTCCGCCCGGTGGCCACCGCGTCTGCTTATTATACCGACCGACCGACCGACCGTGCCACCTCCTTGCCCGACCGTGCCCTCTCGTCCCCTGCTCCTCCCCGCACCCCTCCGCCCCGTGGCCACCGTCTGCTGATCCCGACCGACCGACCGACCGCGCCCCGTCTCCCTGCTCCCCCCCGCCGCCCCTTCAGCCACGTGGCCCCCGCCTGCTTCTTCCGACCGACCGACGACCGTGCCCCCCCCGGTTTGCCCCGACCGTGCCTTCCCGTCCCCCGCGCACCCCCCCGCACCCCTTCCGCCCCGTGCACCCGCCCTGCCTGGCGCCCTGCCCGACCGTGCCCCCCGTGCCGTCGTTCGACTTCGCGTGGTCGCACACATCAGCCGCTCCTACTCCCGACCGACCGCGACGCGCTCCCCTCTCCCCCCTCTGCTCCCATACCGTGGCCCCCCGTGCCCCCCCCCCTTGTCCAGTCCTGCCCCCCCCTACTCCTTCTGCTTATTGCGACCGACCGGCCGTGCCCCCCCCCCTTGCCCCACCGTGGCCCCCCGTGTTCCCCCCCTTCAACCCCCGGTGGCCCCCCCTCTGCTTAACTCCGACCGACCGGCCGACCGCGGCCTCCCCCTGCCCGACCGCGGCCCCCACGTACTCCCTTCATTCCCCTCGTGGCTCCCCCCTTTCTGCGTATTCCGACCGACCAACCGCGGCGACAAATTGCACCATGGTTCCGACGACCTCACCAGTGGCGTAACAAATTCTTCACACCAAGACTCCCAAGAGCGAGCAACATTTCAAAAACTTATAAACAATATAGGTGTGTTTTGTCTCTTGGGGCCCTCTCGGAAGGTTTCTTGAATACCTCTTGGGGCGTCTTGGGGGCATCTTGGGTCGTCTGGGGGCCATCTTGGGCGTCTTGGACCGATCGTTCGACGACTCGGGGCCCTTTTTCCACCGTCTTGGGAATCTCTGGTGACCCTCTTGGCCCGTCATCGGGCCCTCGTGGCGCCCCAAAAGCCCACGCGGCACACCCACGAGCGAACGGCAACGTAGAAGTCTCTGAACACCAGGGCTCCCAACAAAGAGCGGTGGCGCAACAACCTCTTAACGCCAAGGTTCCCATGAGCGAAGGGTGCCGTGAGCCATCTCGGGCCAGTTCCTGCGGCGCTAAATTCCTGCAGGGATACCTAGGGAGTTCCTAAAAAGGCGTCGTACAGCTTCCTAATAGATTCCTGAAGGATGCCTGATGGACTCCTGTGGATTCTCCGAGATTTCTGAAGGGCCCCGAAAGATTTACGAGGGATTCCCCCCAGGATTCCCCTCAGAATTCCTGGGGGATTCCTGAGGATTCCTGAAGGATTCCTGAAGGATTCCTGAAGGATTCCTGACGGATTCGTATAGGATGTGTGAGGATTCCTGAGGGGTGTTTACCATCATACACGTGGCATAAACGCTGCATATACGTTTCGCGTACGTCGGGCATACGTTCCGCATGCGATTCTGTAACGTTCCGCGTACGTGCCGAATTCGTTTCTGTAAACTTTCGAATGCGCGCCCCATGCGTCCCGTATACGTTTGATATACGTTTCGTATGCGTTTCGTATACGTTCGTATGCACTGACGTCTTGTATGCCTTGGGCCTATATAGGGCCCTCCTGGAGTACTTAGACCTCGCATATCATAGCGCAGTGACAGGGTCTAGATCTCAACTGTGCACTATGAAAACCGAGTGAATTCCCTTAACGGTTTAAAGGAAACTATTATGCTGTCATTGCCAAGACGATCATACAAGAACAAAGCTTTACCGTTCCGGCTTACTCACCGACTGGGATCTGGACCGTCTGGTCGTTGGGACCTGACCCGATCGCCCCTGGCCCTGGCCCTGTCCCCGGGCCTGGCCCCAGACCCGGCCCCAACCCCAGCGCCAGGGCCCTGGCCCTGGCCCCGGGCCCAGGAGGAGGAGAAGGAGGAGGAGGAGGAGGAAGAAAGGGAGGAGGAGGAGGACGAGGAGGCGAGAAAGAGGAGAGGGGGGGGGGTCCCAGGGGGGGTCCGGGGGTTGTGACCTCGACCCCGCTGGGGGCCTTCGCCGTCGCCTTTCGCATCCCCACGCCCGCCCCCGAGGAGACAGACAGCCCTCCTCCTCCTCCTCTTCCTCCTCCTCCTCCTCCTCCTCCTCCTCCCTCCTCCTCCTCCACTTCCTCCTGACCTCCTCCTCCGCACTTCGTCTCCTCCTCTTTCTCCTCCTCCTCCTCCTCCTCCTCCTCCTCCTCCTCCTCCTCCTCCTCCTCTTTCTCCTCCTCCTCCTCTTCCTCCGTAGCAATTTTGGCTGAAGGTTTCGAGCTGATTTGCGAACCTTTGGTCCAGCGCACTTGAAAGTGGCGCCAGCTGGACCGAGCCATCCCAATGTTTTCATGAATCGAGGCGGCAATGGGCCTCCGTGGCAGGCGGCCCAAAGCCAACCCGAGCTGCGTTTTCGACAACTTTCCCTTCAGGTCGACCCGTCGAGATTGTGGCTCGAAGGCACCGCAGCATGTTCTCAACCATCAGCGTGCTAAACAGAATGCCAAAGCGTCGCCAACCCCCAACCGCTGGCTCAGTGGACCACCGCGGCTCGTCCAAGATGGGGGGAAAGGTGGCAGCGTAGGCAAGTGGGGCAAGGCAGCTGCCGCGGCAGCCTTGTCCAATGACGATCTCTTCAAGTTGCTCAAAGAAAAAGGTCTCCAGATCTCAGCGTCAAGAGCTTGCAAGATCTTCTCCAGAGGCGCACCCACAAGAAGAAGCATATTGAGAAGTCTGAGGAGAGGGTCAAGGAGGCGAGGGAGGCGCTGAAGGAGGCGCAGCGCATCTACGACGCAGAGCTCGCGCAGTCCAAGACCCATCAGGACACACTCAGCCAAATTGAATTCTACATCAAGGAAGCTCAGTCCAAGTCGGTTCTCCCACAGCCGCCCACGGGACCAGAAGAAGTCAATCCAGCCCACGCGCTTGCGATGCTCGAGGTCATGGACAATGCGGTGCGCAAGTGCGCAGGGCGTTTCGGGCTGGACGCAGCTGGGTTGCTCCAGGCGGCCCCCGTCAAGAAGGAGGAGCTTCAGGCGCAGCTTCCGAAGCCGCCCGCAGCCAGCGCTGCTCCCCCGTCTGCTGGTCCAGGTGCTACTTAGTCTGCAGCTCCTCCTAGCGCTGCTTCTGCCAGTGCAGGGCCCATGAATTTCGACCACGAGGACAGCGAGCTCCGCGACAAGCTCAAGGCCGCAGAAGTGGCTGCAGCAGATGACCCTGAACAGCTCAAGCGCTTCCTGGCCGACATTGCAGCCCACGGCAAGCCGCAGAAGTTGGGGCAGCAGAGTGCCATCAGACCTGCTCATATGGACGCTCAACCTACGGGCCTGGGCCTCTGCTCAAGTCATGCAGCAGTGGGCCACACATGATCTTCAAGGTGAGGAACAAAACCGTCTTCCCGACATTCTGCCCCTTAAAGAGCATCGTCTCAAGGATGCTTTTTCGGCGGGCCAGCGCTCGCAAGTGGTGTACCCAGCAAGGCTTCAAGGTCTCCATGCCTCTGGCGGACAGCACAGGTGTTGGGCCCGCAGAGTCGAGTGCAGGCTGTGCAGTTCCCAGCAGGTTCGCAGCGGATCTTTTTGAAATTGGCACAAGGAGACCTTTCGAATTCCAGAGTTGCGGCCACGTCAGTCAACATCGGCCTCTCCATTCCTGTCGCTGTGGTCTCAGTGCACCTTCACACCAGCATCGGGCTCGCAGGGGCCAACATTGATCTACTTGGCAGTCTCTTCCAGGCAGGGGGCTCTCTGCCTTTCCCGAAGACCATTGGAGCGGATTGGAATTCAGTCCCAGAGGACACGCAGAAGTGGGCTGCCACGGCCAAGGCTGATGCGTTCTAGTCAGGCCAACCCACTTTCGGAGCTCGTGAATTAGACTCCTTTGTGCGAAGCAGGGTCCTCACGCCGCTCGTTCGCGTCGTCAAGGGCATCGCTGGAGCGCCGCCGCGCCCTCACCCACCTGTGAGTCTGCTGCTCAAAGGTCTCTCAGTGGAGGCCAAGGTGCCTACAGCCCTCCTGCCCATGAAGTTTCCGATTGATAAACCAGCGCCTGCTAGGCCAGCGCCAACAGAACGAGCACTCAGTGACTGGGCATGGAGACTTTGAGAGGAATTGCCTTCTGATCTTCAAGTGGCCTGTCAACTCTGGTTCCGCCATGTCGAGGAGTACCTCCTGGACTTTCATGACGTCTCCACTCGATGCTCCACGGCCCACTCGGGGCGAGCTGACGGTCTTCAAGTTCAGCATGTGGCAGCAGATTGCGCCCGGCCCGCTGAATCTCAGCGATTCTCGCGGTTGACGGAAGGAAGTGGGCTAGGTCCCCAGAGGAGGAGAGGAGGAGGAGGAGGAGGAGGAGGTAGGAGTAGGAGGAGGAAGGAGGAGGAGGAGGAGGAGGAGGAGGAGGAGGAGGAGGAGGATTGCTTCCTTCTGCTCGGCTGCATGCGCCTGCATGCTATCGGCTCGGAGTCCCGGGCGAAAGGTTTCCAGGCTCTGGCTGCCCCGCGTGCAGGCCTCACAGTTGCCTGCGTGCTGCTCTGCCAGACTGGCCTCGGGACTCCGACCTGGGGCAGTGGAACGAAGGATTTTTTTTGCATCCTTGGTTTTTTTTTTTTTTTGTTTTTTTTTTTTTTTTTTTTTTTTTGCAATCCAGGGTTTTTTTTTGCAATCGTTTTTTTTTGCAATCCTTCTATTCCAGGAATGATCTATTAGTGCAACTCTTAACTGATGGTGGGGGCGGGGCTCTGGGGTCCCTCCCGGGCTTGAAGGGTCGCCTCTCTCGCCTCCAGAGCAAAGAAAGAGCCGCCGGCGCGTCGGCCTGGGAGGCCCGGGCCAAAGCTGCGGCCGAAGATCAAGGGGGGGGGGGCTGCCTATTGTTATGTTCGAGAGCCTCTGCCTGAGACTCAGATCTACACGAAAGCCGCGGACGTCTTGCCGTCGCTCCCTGTTGAAGGTCAGCATGCGGTCGATCGTCTGCTTGAACAGTGGGGGCCGTTGTGGAACGCTCCCGAGCGTGATGGTGAAGTTCCTCCTGGGGACTGGGGTCCTGGGGTGGTCCCCATCCAGGCCTTCGGAGGCCTCGGTTCCGTCTCGGGGCCTCCTTGTTCCTGGTGGTCTGGGTCCCTGGGCGTCGCTTCCGAGGGTCACCATCGCGCAGCTTAATGAAATCTTGTCGTCCTACTCTGGCTCGTGTGGGCTAGGATGGGATCACTTGCATCCGCGTCGGGCGTTGTGGCCCCCCGATAGTTACAAGCAAGCGCTCCTGTATATTATATTTTAATGCGTTGGGAGCAGGGTCCAGAATATTTAGAGCTCTGGACCCTTTTGATTTTCTTTTTGGGCAAACCGGCCCCTACCTCGGGAGTTCGGCCGATTGTTCTGGCCTCGGTTAGGGGAAGAATCTGGCCCCGTCTCCGGCAGCCCGTGGCCCAGGCGTGCTCGGTGGAAGACTGCCGTCTCAGACGCAGTCAGAGCTAATGGCGCCGTCGCGGCTGGGTGCAGCTGCGCGCTAGCTCTGGCCAAGCTTTTGGTCCACGCCGTGATTGTTTCTCTCCAGCGGAAGTATCTGGCTGTCAGGTTTCAGAATTTGGTAGATGACTTCCCCTTGCAGGCCAGTGGAGGTCGTCTACATGTGCTTGAGCAGTTCCCTCAGGCCATGTCGGATCTAGTGGCCGCGCTGCAGCATCGACAGCTAGTAGTTAACTGGGGCAAGACTGGTTACATGACTGGCACGGTGGACCTAGATGATGACCCCAACCAGAGGTGGGATCTCAGCTCTGAGCAAAGGCTCAGCAGCGGCAGGGTTCTTGGCGCAGATGTCAACAATGGTGCTGCTCGTACTGTCATGGAGCAAGACAAACGGCTGGCCATAGCAGCATCGGTATCACCGCGTGTTTTTGCCTTGAGGAAAGCGGGGGCAAGTGTCGGCACTATCAGGGGGGGCTCTCCTGCGGCGACGGCGGTGTGGGGGGCGGCCGTCACTGGCATTGCTGACATTAAGCTTGCTGCTCTCAAGCTAGCCACTCTCAGAGGGGAGGGTCGTGTCCCTCCAAGCACCTCGGTTGCTCTCAGGTTGCGTGTCACCCCCAGAGGGGCCACCGGAGATCCCTGGGCTGTCGTGGTCTGTGACGTGATCAAGCAGTGAGCACTGCGTGTACAGTCGGTCTTGCCGGGCCTTGGTCCGCTGCAGGCCTGCCTGCAGGAAGCACATCGTCTGCTGGAAAAAGATCGGCCTTGGTCTCAAGTCGTCGGCCCGTCTCAGGCTGCTGTCCTGTCTCTCGCCAGGATCGGCTGCGCCTTGCCCTCTGCCGATGTGCTCTGGCGACCCGGGCTTGGGGGGGGGGAGGGGGGGGGGGATCAAACTTGCTGACTTCTCTCATGCTTTCTTTGTTGATCCTGTCAGGCCTCTGGCGCTCCAGGCTTCTGACATCATGGCGATGGAGAGACTCCAAGCGCTCTGGGTCTCTCCCCTCAATTGCCCCCCCTCGCCCGTCTCAGCAATCACGACTTTGATGACAGCTGGTCGCAGCATCGTGCTGCTGCCATTCGGAGCCTGGTCGGTGGATCCCATTGGCCTCGAGCCTCAAGCTCGGTTGCACTCTAGGGGTGAGGCTCAGTCTGATGTGGCATCGCTTTTACGATTGCCCCAGGTGTCTCCAGGTCAGGCGTGAGGAGTGCCCGCGGCATGTCATGCAGGCCGCTCAGTATGTGAAGCAGATTGGGGAGGAAGCTGGTGAGCTCATGGCCAGGCGCCTCTTCCCCTCACCGCCTCTCTGCTTCCCCATGCAGGGAGGTTCCTCAGGAGGATCAGCTCAGGCCTGCCAGTGCTTTCCCCTGGGTGGAAATCTTCGGGTGCCGTCTCCGTGGGCGGCTCGGCGCTCCATTCCCACCTTCAGGGCTTCAGTCGTGCAAGATGGTCGGTTGCTCAGATCGACCCGGCTGGCAGCTTGATCGGCGCCGTGCACGGCGCGGCGCCGCTCCGCGCGGCTCCGGGACGGGCGGCTCGGGGCGGGGAGGACATGGGGATCGAAGGGTGCTCTCTCAATTCGGCGACTGGTGAGCCGACCGCCCGCTGGAAGCCCACGCGGAGTGTGCAGGCACGCGTGGCTGTGCGACAGATTCCAGCATGGCCCCCTCGGCTCCCAGCCCTCGTCGTCGCGTGTGGGGTGATTGGTGGAGCGGCATCGGCAGGCTGGCCCCTGTAAAGTTGAGGCTCACAGGAGCCTAGGTGCCGCCACCTCAGATCATGAGGAATGGCGGATAAAAAAGGTAGCTCGCTCGCTGATAAGTTGGCCAAGAGAGGGGCCCGCCTCTGGAACGTTTCTCAGGATCACCTAGATTTTGTCTCTGGGCGTGACAGGATTGCCTCGGACATTGTTAAGTGGCAGGGCAGATGCCAAGAAGTTTTTGGAGAGCTGGAGCAACTAGACTCGCAGGATCTTGTAGGTACTGCGGACATAGTTTCGGGTGCTGATTTACCCCCTGGTCTGATTCAGGCCTGTTTGGAAGAAGGTGTGGCGCCTTTCGGGGATTGGTCCTTGGCTGAGGGGGTCGAATCTCCTAGCCCCGCTCCGAGCCTCCATCCTCCGCCCACCGTGACTGGCTATGCTGAACCATGTGAGGTAGATGATTCCTTTGTCTCTGCCTCTGGAGTCCCCTGGGTTGTCAGAGGCCACTCGCTGGTGCAAGCCTTTGTCACCGACCAAGGCCAGGACTTGACAGACCTTTTGTTCTGCAAGGTTTGTGGGACCTCTGCGCACACGTCGGCGCGCGGTTTCAGAGAGGAGTGTAAGGGCTCCAAACATCCTGGCCTCAAGACCCAGCGGTCTAAGCTGAAGCGGGCGTTGTTCCCAGGGCACGCTCATGGCAAAGCCAGGGTGGGCCCTGCCTTTGGACCGACCCTTGCGATGAAAGCTGTTCGGGGTCCTCTGCTGGACGCTGGTGGGGGCTCTGCTGCTGCTGTTGCTGCGGGGAGCCTAGGCAGCGAGTCTGTAGGGGGTCAGGTATCGGCTGGCAGCCACATGGGACCTGATTCCAGAGTTTCTGGTGCGGGAGGTAGTTCTCGCCTCCTTCGCTTTCGGGGCCCTAAGGCCGTCTCAGTCGCCAAGTTGCATGGTTTCGCCTCGCCTGATGATCTTGTGCAGTGGGAGAGGTCCTGCCAGAGGTCCCACAAGGAGGCACCCGAGCTTATCGACAACGATTGAGCTCTAATTGCGCCGTGGGGCGAGGGGCACCATGACGTGCCCGTTTTGTCAGTACCCTCAGTACCCTCCTCTTTGCTCGCCCCCCC